CATTTGAAATATAAATGATCAACACTCAATTTCACTGTCTTCCGTGAAGGAGTCTTCAAAATGGGGACTGTGCTATACTGCTGGGTTTTTTCCACATCTCAAGCCGCAGCATTAATAATGTTAAAAATATCTGCAATTTTCATACTTCAGACAGTAAAAGCACAGCATTACCATAACCAAGAACAAATGCGTGCTATTCTCAAAGATGATTATATGTTTCTTTTAGACCCCTTGACAGATGGCAAGTCCTGAATTCTCCTGCTTAGGCCAACATGGATAGAGGTGCTATGCGTCTGCTCTGTCTGTAGTAACAGCCCCCGATGTTTGATTGCTTCCAGAATGATGTGGCCACGCTTCTGAAACCCATATCGGAAAAGATTCAGGAAATCCAAACATTCAGAGAGAGAAACCGGGGGAGTAACATGTTTAATCATCTTTCGGCCGTCAGCGAAAGCATCCCTGCCCTTGGATGGATAGCTGTGGTGAGTCTAGATGGAATGTTGCCTCTTCACCTCATCACACTTTTGGAGTATTTAGGAGAACTCGTAACTTAGTTACCTTCACGCTCCTTGCACTGAAGGAAGCTTCTTCCTAGGCCGAATGCATCTGCTTTCTCCTACCCTGTTTAAAGTTCAGTGCTTTCTGTTCTGAGATACTGTAGAAAGTGTTTTTATCAACCTTTACAGAGCAACATTTGCCTCCCACTTTCAAGTCCACACGTCTCCATTGCTTTTCTTCTTCTTTAAGGCATTTTCTTTCTTATCCTATTTTTTTTTCCTTCTATGCTTGGGTGACGGTCCTGTTTTCTCAGTCCCCCAAACCCGGTCCTTATGTCAAGGAGATGAATGACGCTGCCACCTTTTATACTAACAGGGTCTTAAAGGACTACAAACACAGGTACGTACCTTACTTTACTCACCAAATTTTCAGTTGATTACTTGTTAGACATTTGTCCCTAAAACTCAGTGCAGTTAACTACTGATTCCTTTTCAAGGCTCTACACTAATGTACTATAAACTTTAAAGGAAAATCTAATCTTTGCAGATAAAGTCAAGTGGAAAGTGTAATCAATTATCCAGATAATATATGTGTTTTAGAAAGTCTGCCTCAGTTCGCTTGTAATGAATAAACTCTCCCCACTTGAATGCATGTCACTATCTTATGTATTCCCACAATAATCAGAGAGCTTGGTGATGGAGCAACCCTGTATGGTGCAGAACCTTTACATGGATCAAAGTAGAGTTGGAGGGTGAGCTATAGACGAGAGGAGGAATCAGGAAATGAAGTGTGAATCAAGAACAGAATGAGATGAAACAACAAACCAGAGCAGTGAGAAGGAAATCGGAGACTCAGTTAATATGAAATACAACTGGGGTGGATACAGAGACACCTGTAAGACCAGCTGCCATTCAGAGTGCTGCTGAAAGTATAGATGAGTCTAAACCAAGGGGCTTTGCCTGGTGAACCAGCGTGAAAGGACCTTGCATTTGTCAGCACAAGTAGTAGATCCCAGAGTAACTTAAACTGGAGCCAGAATAGAAAATAGGCCCAAACTGAAAGCTCTGACATGGCAGAGCTGAAGAAATATCCAGGAAAATGTGTCCTAAACCATTTAAGGGATATCATGAGATTCCTCCCCCTCTGAGAAGGTCATGCCTTGTACTCTAAACAGTTGGCTAAATGTGATGTGGCTGGTGCCTAGGAACTAAGGGAAGGGATGAGGCAAATATAAGAGCAGCAAGGTTCTACCTGCTTCTGGCCCTGGACTCCAGCGTGGATCTCCCTCTGAGCTCTTACATGGCAGCAACAGAAGTGACCATTGGTCAGCAAATGCAGAGGCACCTGGAGATGTCTCATGTGTTGACCCAGACTGTTCAGGTGGAAGGAAATTAAAGAACCTGTATTATTGGATTATTGCTTCAATTCACGTTTTTTTTGGTTTTTTGGTTTTTTGAGGCGGAGCCTCGCCCTATTGCCAGGCTGGAGTACAGTGGCATGATCTTGGCTCACTGCAATCTCCACCTCCCAGGTTCAAGCAATTCTCCTGCCTCAACCTCCCAAGTAGCTGGGACTACAGGCATGCACTACCATGCCCAGCTAATTTTTGTATATTTAGTAGAGACAGAGTTTCACCATGTTAGCCAGGATAGTCTCAATCTCTTGACCTCGTGATCCACCCGCCTCAGCCTCCCAAAGTGTTGGGATTACAGGCATGAACCACTGTGCCTGGCCTCAATTCACCCCTTTGTTTTACTAATGCAGATGTGAAAATTAGAACCAGAGGAAAAGGGTCTACAACAATGTAAGACAAATTTTATAGGGAATATAGAAAAATTGCATAAAATATATAAATAAATACCTAGTATACTCCAGCCCATTAATTAATATTACATATTCAAAATTTTCATCAGTCTTTCTTTTGTAGATTTTTTAAATTTTAAAAACATTGAGTAGATACAAAAGAATATTTATAAAATATATATAAGGTGTAAAGGATTACAATACAAAAAATACATATACATCCATCCCTCAGGTTAAGAAATATGTAACAATATTTTTTTACTATAAAAAGCAGGCCAGGAGTGGTGGCTCACACCTATAATCCCAGCACTGTGGAAGGCTGAGACAGGTGGATCACTTGAGGTCAGGAGTTCATGACCATCCTGGCCAACATGGTGAAACCCTGTCTCTACTAAAAATACAAAAATTAGCCAAGCGTGGTGGCATGCACCTGTCGTCCCAGCCACTCAGGAGGCTGAGGCAGGAGAATTGCTTGAACCCGGGAGGCAGAGGTTGCAGTGAGCTGAGATTGCGCCACTGCACTCCAGCCTGGGTGACAAAGTGAGACTCCATCTCAAAAAAAAAAAAAAAAAAA